ACCAGAGCCTGGGAGTTGCCCTAGTTGTGTCAAGAATTTAGAATATTACATAAACGTAGTTGGTAAAGCAGTTGCAGAGTTTGAGAGGGTTGACTCCAATTCTGAAAGAAGTTCTACTGAGCAGGGTAAAGTGCCATCAAACAGCCTTGCATGCTACAGAGAAATCCTTCATGAAAGACCTCCTTGCTGTCTCATTCAACAGACTGCCTCAGCCACCCACCTTCAGCAACCACCACCCTGATCAGTCAGCAGCATCAACATCAGGGCAAGACCCCCACTGGCAAAAAGATTATGACTCACTGAAGGCTCAGATGATGCTTAGCATTATTTAGCAATAAAGTATTTTTAAATTAAGGTGTATACATTGTGTTTTTAGACATAACACTATTGCACACTTAATATTGACTACAGTATAGTGTAAGCATAACCCATATGTACCGGGAAACAAAAAAAATTTGTGTGACTCACCTTATTGCTTTATTGCGATGGTCTGGAACTTTACCTGCAATATTTTTAAAGTATGCCTGTATGCCTTTTATCTTATTAGGTATATATGTACAGCTGAATACTCTTACACTCTATGCAGGACTGCACTAATGCATGGAAATGTAAATATGTAATGCAAATTTAAAAAGCAGGGCATGATCTTAGCAGTGATTTATCGAGTAATTCTGAAAACCTTTGACATCTTCATGTAATGCTTTTTTTCCTTTCTTATGCAATAAATGGAGTTGATAAACTGTGACCGTTGTTCTTAATCAAGTTATACTAAGAGTCTGCATACCTTTCCCAGGAGAATTGTCAAGAGAACAGTAGTTAATGCCTGTATATTTCCTGGTTAAGAGTGTCTGTGGGCTTCCCTGGTGGCGCAGTGGTTGAGAGTCCGCCTGCTGATGCAGGGGACGCGGGTTCGTGCCCCGGTCCGGGAAGATCCCACATGCCGTGGAGCGGCTGGGCCCGTGAGCCGTGGCCGCTGAGCCTGCTCGTCTGGAGCCTGTGCTCTGCAACGGGAGAGGCCACAACAGTGAGAGGCCCGTGTACCGCAAAAAAAAAAAAAAAAAAGAGTGTCTGCTTGATTTTTTCTATTAAAGGCAGAGAGAGAAATTTGCTCCTTGGTCTTTAATGAAGTAAGAGAAGAATGATTTTATTTCACCAAGTGGCAAATATTTAACACCAGGAGAATTTTAAAAGATTCAGGTTAAAGAAAATACAAAACCAAAACCCTACAAGGGTAGTACCATGAATCTTGGCTATGGGTTGGTGAAAAATCCCTGTACCTGCCACCAACACCAAGACCCTTCTCTCCTGGGGTCTGAGATATGTGGGAAAAACAAACATAAACAAAAAAACCAAACTCCACAATCAGTGAATTGGTAATGGAATGTCTGAATTTGTTATTGTCTTGGATGGAGAATCAAGGGAAAATAAAAACCCTTTTGCCACATCTATATCTTGGTGTTCTAAAGCAGCATGTTAGTAGCAATTAAAATAACTTTAAATGAAAAAGGGAAGAGAACTTCCTGGCGGTCCAGTAGTTAGGACTCCTCGATTTCACTGCAGAGGGCCCTGGTTCAATCCCTGGTGGTCGGGGAATTAAGATCCCACAAGCTGGGCGAGTGGTGATGATAGGTCAAAGTGGAGATATTCTTAGTTATGACAGGCTCTAAGTCCTATTTTTACATGGATTGTAACTAAAGAATAAATACATGAAAAAATAGACATATTTAAAATGAGATCAAAGGTGTAATTTGGGGGTCTCTTTATTTCTGAAATCATTCAAATGCATAATTAAAAAATTATAATTATATCCATAAAAATATTTTAAAAATCACTTTTTTCCAGATTATGAAAGTAACACACACTCAAAAATGCCTTTTGTTTTTCCTTATCTCCAAATGATGTGCTAGGTATAGTTCTAAACTCCTAGGAAGAAGTAATAAAAATTCTTGGACTTTTTTTTCTGTATTTTAAGTCTGATAGAAATCACACATTAAAAAAAATCTGTACAAGCTAATGAAAATATTGTTTCTTAGATTTTAACTGGCATCATTAAGTTGATGGTACAATGCTGAGTATCACTGTAGACGTTCTGATTGACAGCTATATGCCTTTGATTAATAGAAATGTCACTACATAATAAGAGCAATATATGTGACATGTACAGCCATTCAAAACATAGTTTATGGGGAGAAAATACCTAAAGTGTTTCTTGGTAATGAAAAATATTGGAAGTACCCTAAAATATTTTAGTCCCCACTGTCACACCCTCCCTTCACCCCTCTGAATGTATGGTGGTCTAAAGAACTTTTATGTCCCATATGTCTCATGGTTCAAGGGTAACCAAAGTAATCAATTCCATAGGACAGGGACTTCCCTGATGGTCCAGTGGCTGAGACTCCACACTCCCAATGCAGGGGGCCCAAGTTCCATCCCTGGTCAGGGAACTAGATCTCACAGGCTGCAACTAAAACAAAGAAACCCGTATGCTGCAATGAAGATCCCACATGCTGCAACTAAGACCCGGCACAGCCAATAAAATAAATACCATAGAAAAGTTCTCTGATGAGAATGAGTAATTGCTTCAGATTATCTAGGCTCCAGTTTCATCAGAGGAACAAAAATGAATCAATTGCTTTTTGTTTTTTTTAAATACTTATTTGGTTGCACTGGGTCTTAGCTGTGGCAGGCGGACTCCTCAGTTGCGGCAGGCATGTGGGATCCAGCTCCCTGACCAGGGATCAAACCTGGGGCCCCTGCATTGGGGAACTTGGTCTTAACCACTGCACCACCAGGGAAGTCCCAAGAATGAATTATAATCAAACGCTACTTTCCTACAAAAGACTTCAGCACTCACAAATTAGACTGCTGACCAACCTTAATGCTTTAGAGATCCCTCCCAGAAGTGGCAAACACTGAATCCAGTCCTCAGAGATGCTTGATAGACTCCAAAATGTAATGAATTACTTTCAATTAGCCAACTTCCTCAATTTGAAAAATCAGGGGATTAAGTATGGTTTTCCATAGGTCCTTTTATGGGGTTGGCCCTTCCTGTCTCATCAATAAAACAATCACCCTGTATTTGTTCACCAGCCAGCACACAAACTTGAGAACATTTGAAGAAACTCCCTTTGGGTAACCGCATCAATGACAGCAAATTCAATAAATTTTGGAAATTCCCTGACAGTCCAGTGGTTAAGACTTGGTGCTTCTTACTGCTGTGGGGGGGTTTGATTTTTGGTGGGGGAACTAAGATCCTGCAAACTGCATGGTGTGGCCTAAATGAATGAATTCTAGTCAATCTGTCACCATAAGAGGCAACTTTGAGTCTTTTAAAACTAGATAGCTTTCAAAGTAGTTTGTAATTTCCTTGAGACTTACATTTATATATAGTCATGACTTTTGTCTTCAGAAAACTCATTTTAGTCAGATTCTCAAAAGGAGATAAACATTGGAACAGTATGAGAAAACCTGTCTGCAGTACAGTGCTTCTCACACATATTTATAACACATGCTAGTCTTTGATAAACCAAAATCTTAAGCATTGTTACTTGAAATTTTTAGATTTTAAGTAACAAATCAGAGCCTGTTGAATATCCCTTCCCCAATCACACTGAGATCATGATATACCTCCTCAAATGGGGGTACTCCTCTTGAATGAGTAGACCAAAGAATAAGGTCAGGAATTAAACTGCCACTTAAAGCAACAATCTTTAGGATGTTCTTACCCTCTAATCCAGAATACCACTGTATTCTTTCCTACAGTTTATAAAACACAGTGGTTAAGTCAAAGTTTCCACTTTTTTCTATTCAACCAAAACTCACTGAAATCCCACATCTGACTATTTCAAGACCAAGAATAATATAAAACTGCAACCAATCCTAAAGGAACAGCCCACATTTTTATGGCAATACTTTTGAATGACTTTACATGAAAACAAAGTTGTAATGCTTTTGCTCAGAAAGTTGAGACCACAGCAAATGGCAATTCTATTAAGTTGGAAAGTTTGAGATTTTTACAGAATGACATTTTCTGACTTTGCTTAACACTAGGAGCAATTCAAATGTCAAAGGCACGCGTGCGCGCGCGCACGCGCACACACACACACACACACACACACACACCTGTAACTAAAAATTGCAGTTTATATAAAATTACATTTAAAAGTGCAATTATAATTGCAGTGTCCTTGAATCACCTTTTCCATCAGTGAAACATAGTATCCTGTGGTGGACATCCTATCAAATACTTGCAACCTATAGCAATTAATTTCTCAGGTTTCTTTGTATTGAAATTTATAAGATTAGCAAAGGGTCCAGTTACTGTCACCATTATGAAAAAGATGCATGGAAGAGAATGAAATAAATGCTCTGCTTATCCATGTTAGTATCCCAATGACAGTTTAACTCTTAATCCCTAATCTTGTTAAATGTAGCCATCAGACTACAGAATACTAACGTGTTAATCAACAAAACTGCTAATTAGGTTTCTTTCAGGGTAAGTAGCAACACATAGAACTTGCTCAAAACAACTCAGGAAGCATATTTAAGAATATACAGGGTTAATTATGTTTGTCATAGGTACTTCAGTTTTTCTAAAAGACCTCGATAATCTCTAGATGTATTTCTTCAAAGTCATATATATCAAGACTTGACTGAAGAGTTTGGATTTTGTTTAAAAAGCCTTTATTCATTTTTGATCAGGGAAAGGACAATCTCAATGTCAGCTTGTCACCTAATCATAAATTTGAACTTACAGGATTCACTGCCCTAAAGACACTGCACCTACTGACTTTGACAACATAACTTAAAATGAAAATCTCCTTTCTGTTCCCTAAGGTTGCATGTTGAACGAACCAATCCCTTGCATTAGCCAACATTGGTACTTGGCCTAGATGTAAGGTCAAATAGCAAAACAGGAGCAAAAGGCCAAAAGCATTGTAACTTGATAGCCCAGCAAGTACAAACATCATCAGAACAAAGAAAGTTGCAGGCACCAAATAAAACAAGGCAGGTTCATTAGCATAAAAAAATTTACACTTGGTTGAAGGTGAGGTCAACTATTCCACATGTGAACATGTATGCCAATCCTAATGGCTAACATGGAACCACAGAAACAAAAACAAAAACCTTAAATTCAATAACTACACTGAATGTAAAATTCAAAACTTGAGTTTACCCAGGACATCCTCCAAAATCTACAGCTAAAACTTTTTTTAATGCACCAGAAGATCTGTTGTAATGACATGACTTGGTCACACTTAGATTTGCATTTACATAAGATTTAAGGGATACCTTTCCCCACTATTCCTTTTACGTTTGAATATGGATATGCTTAACTATTCAGCTCATGCACTAACTGCACTAAAAATGATGAAACTTACTACCATGATTTTTTCTAAGAACTCACACCACGTAACAGTTAACACCCAATACAGCTTCCTAAAAATGCCCCAACAGAAAACATTTTGTTCAGTTTGGTGCTTGCTGTGACATAATACCAACAGAATAGTATACAATTAATTTAGTTACTCATCCACTACGTCATATATTTTAATCTAACTTTTGTTCAAACTTTAGTAACTTCATACCTATTTGCCAAAATCCTTGTGTTAAATGTAACTACATCTGATATTCTTAAACTGTGGCTCCTATAACACAGTTCAAGTGTTTTTTCCCCTGGGTATGTTTAGACAGTTTAATCAAAACAAAGTTATGGTATTATGATTAGCCAAAGCTCTTTCTAGCAGACCACTGAATACAGCAAGTCATTAACAAATGCCTTTCCAGAGACAAGAGCAAAGCAAAATATTTTCTATTCATAAAAGGAGCTACCAGCATGCTTTGTGCCATTAAAAAGTTACTTTTCAAAATATAACCAGAAGACTTATGGTCTACTAGAAAGCTTCCACTCATCACAACACTGTAACTACGCCACAGAAACTTTCATGACAAAGTCTCCAGATATACAAAGAGAAAACAACATTACTTAAAGGTAATGTGGAAGCCTCAGTTAACAGGGAAATGAAGCCTTAGAACATAGAATACATCTAACAAAAAGAGAACAGAGTAGACACTGTAGCTGGCTATTTGTAAAGGACCACAGTTTCTCCCTATGGATCAACACTCCCTACAAAATAAACTGTGCCTTAATTATTGCTTATTTAAAATCACACTTTTACAGGGCTATTTAGTACCTGACGCAGAAAAACAATCACATAAGGAAGCATTTATTTGAGGTTTAACATGAAATCATACAAATAAAATTTGTATAAACACAAATCCACGTCGAGTCATAACAGATAGCAAAAGACAAAGTAAAAACAAAAACTAATTGGCGGCTATATACAGTTGGACACAGTTGTGTCTTGTACACTAGAAAGTCTTTTACAAAATAATCATCTTAGATCAACAGAAGACCAATCTTCAATGTCGTCCTGCAAGATGGGTTACTTTAGCAATCTCTTCCTAAAAACAAAAACAAAATGGCAATTAGATTTGTGCAACTCTGACAAGCTTTCAAAGGTCCACTTTCATGAATTGTTTTAAGTTCTCACTTTATTCTTTTCTTCAATAATTAAAGATCACATGCAAATTCACTGGCAAAACGCAGTTCGGGTAATTAATAAATTCACCATGAAGTTCCCAAATGATATTAAAGTAAAATTTACTTAGAAAATCTGGGAATGCAGTCTTCCCATATTCACAGGTTGAACTGTGCTAGGTTCAAGGTCTACTAGAAACATCTCTAGTAAGCCACGTACAATGCTATTACAAACATGAATTTCTAATAGGCTTGTATTGCAAGAAAACAAATTTCTGTGTGCATATGATCTTTAATTTATATCCCAGATTTTAAAGTTCTTGTTTTGGTTTGTAGATTTCACTATTAGCTATAAAAAGAAAAAGCAAGCATTAAATCTTAAAGAATGAACACTTAAAATGAGGCTCCACAATTGAAATACAACACTAAACAGAAGACCAAAATGATTAAGCTGTAAAAAGGCATTTATGTACTTTAACTCCTGTAAAAAACCATTTAAGTTAAGTTTAGACACTTAATCTTCAAAAAGATTAAAAAAGAAGCCAAAGTCTGAAGTTTTCCACTTTAATCTTTACGCTGGTACATGAAGTTGGAAGAGACCATACCACAGGACAGCGTTTTCTGGTGTATGCCTTGCGCTCTGCCCGCAACGTGCGACCCCCAGAGATAGACGTGGTCAGGGTGACACACGGCCTGCAATGAAGTTCCCGCTGGCGGGTACAAACAAGGTATAATGTCAGAGTTAGAAGACAACATTCCTGTTTTCCTTAAGTTGTACCCATTTCAGTACTTTACCTGTTAATAGTTCTAAAAAAGTTTAATTATTCCTCTAGACCACCTGGTACACAAAGCAAACAGAAAAACTCTTAAGTTTTTCTGTAATACTAAAGAAAGTGAGATAAAACTTTAAAGTTAAAGATCTATAGACACTTTAGGCAAAACAGGTTCATAAAGCAAGTAAAAAATTAACAATTTAGTAAAAGCAGGCTACATGATATTTTGTTTTCACTTATTTTTCATTTGTCTATTGATCTTTAAATTAAATTAGAATTTCCACTGGTGTCTTGAACTCTTATACACACCTGTTTTCTCCAACGTCCCCTTTTAGTATGGCTGGTAATTATTTTGGTGATTGCCACCCCCTCGAGATGCCTTGCCATAAGTGCTCTGTTGGCCTATTTTGAAAAAACAAAAAATTGTGCTTAGCTTTTAATGAAATGGTGTCACTGTATATTTTAAAAACTATTAAATATGCAAAATCCTCCATGGCAATTAAAATAACCAGATATTTAAAAAGTCATTATAAACTAGTCACATATCACATTCTAGAATGTTTGTAATGACTGAAGTCTCTCTATCAGTATAAGCTCTTATGACTATTAAATGTCTCAAAAATTTAACTCCAAATACTTCAAGAAAGAGAAAACACCCACACACACACAGTCTCAGAATGGGATTGTACTTTAAACAATGAATTTTAGTACCACTGGTTTATGAAATTAAGTCAAATATTCTTACCACTGTAGTCTGTATATCCCTGTCCATATCCATAGTTCCCATAGTTATACCCAGTATAATCATAGCCGCCATAGCCACTATAGTTTTGATCACCACCATAGGCACTATTGTAATTTCCATATCCTTGATCATAATAGTTATTAAATCCTTGGTTCCAGTTTTGGCCCTGACCTGAAACAATGCACAATGATTGTTAGGAAACAACTTCTGACCCCCAATCCTAACATAAAATGATGCGTTCCTGTCCCTCACTCTGCAAATCTTAAAAAGGCAGAATGGATACCTATATTGCTAACTGACCAAGAAAGTATTATTACAGTTGGAAAAAAAAGGGGGCAGAAAGTCCAATTGTGCCAGTATCAGGCTCACTAAATTCAATGAAAAATCAGGACAAAGGAGAAGACAGAGTGTTTATCTTTAAAACAAGGACTCCTGCCCTAGAAAACCTATCAGGCCAAAGTGTTCCATGTAATCTTAATTACGTTTAATGGTGTTATTTTCCCATCAGTAATGATACTGTCAGAGTGGCCATTGTTTGAAGAGGTGAAACCAGTAAATACAAAAGCCCACCCACTAAGCTGAGCAGTTTCCATGTTGTAACAGTTTAAATTTGGCTTCACTTTCCTATAGGCTTATTCATATTCTGCAGTTTATAGCTTACAGCATTGAGTCATTGCCCAGGAATTAAGTCTCACCTCGGCCACGACCCCTAGTACCACCTCGTCCACCAGCTGCAGCACCTCTTCCTCCTTTTTGTTGTTGCTGTTGCTGCCTATATACCTCTTTGGGTTGTGCAACTTTGATTTCACACTAAAAACAAAATTTAAAAAGCAAACAGAATTATTACCAATATTCGAATGTCAAGCCATTGTTTTTCTTCTCAAAACAGGTTGAGAAATTTCACTTTAAGAAAAAGAAAGGATATTGTTCATTTACTATAATCAAAATGGCTTTACCTTCCCAGAACCAATTTGATGATATCTGCTTTCTAACAATTTCTTTACTGGCTCTTCGTCTGTATATGTAATAAAACAAAATCCTCTTCTTTCATTTGTTTTTGTATCCATGGGAAGTTCAATATTTTCAATCTGAAATCAAGATACACACTCAAGGTCACCCACTAATGGTAAAAAGCTACCAAGATGTTTTAGAATGCCACAAGTCCTTTTCAAGCTTCAACATAACATGTCATTCTAACGAAATAACTTCTGTATAAACCACTGCTTTATTATCCACATCAAACTAGAGCGATCTGTTTCATCTATGGAGCATTGAGAAGAAAAAGTAAAACCTTATTTAATACCATTTCTTACCCCACAGATGCCACTAGTTAATAAATACAAACCCTAATCACACCAAAGCATCCATCTTTTTGCTGAATTAGTTTCCATTAGACACTAGTTTCCATTATAATACAGAAAGCACTGATTAAGGTACGGTGACTGGAAGGGACTTGAGCAATAATTTAATCCCACCCTCATCCAACATTGAGTTTGCTCTGTAAGAACTGGGCCAGGGATAAACATTATATAAACATATCAAATGAAAATACACATAAACGTAAAAGCAGAGCGCACCTCTCCAAAGGCTCCAAAATATTCTTTAATTTGTTCTTCTGAAGTATCTGGGCTCAATCCACCCACAAAAACCTTTTTAGGGGGTTCCTTCCCTTTTAAAGCTTTGGCTCTTTTAGGGTCTATCAATTTGCCATCCAGCTTGTGTTCTTTCATTTCCAAAACCTAGAAGACAGATTTATTTAATCTGACAACATACAAGCAACCCGCTGAACAATTTGCAAGAAACACACAAAAGCACCACAATGCGAAACATGTTCCTACCTTATCAACACTAGCAGCATCTTTGAAAAGCACAAATCCAAATCCTCTTGATCTTCCAGTGACTGGATCTGTTTTAATTGTGCAGTCTACAACTTCCCCAAATCGAGACAAATATTCAGTCAGATCTTTCTTGCTTGTATCCCAGCTCAAGCCTCCAATAAACATTTTACTAGAAATAAAAGTTGTTTTTTAAGATTAGCAACAACTACAACGATTAAATTCTGAAATTACGTTTACGAAATAAAACTATAAAATAAGCATGGGGAAATACATCCTGATGTACAAATAATTTAACCCGTTTACACACACACACGAACAAAAGACCACAAAGATCCCCCAAGTTCCTCACTTACTCAAAACGGTGGACACCTTGCTCTCCTCACTGCACAATGCCAAGTTTAAACGAGGCCAACAATACATGGTAAAGATTGTTCCCGACTAGAAAATCCAACTTTCTATACTGATCCCACACAACTTAGGCTCACCGTCTTCCTCAACTACCAAGCCCACGTTCCACCTAAAAGAACTCATCATCACACGTACTGGGGATCTGGGTACCAGTCGCCTACAGGTTCCCAAACCAGGAGTTCCCTAAATCCTCCCCCTGAAAACTGCGCGGAAGCGTAACACAGACACAATGAAGAGGCGGCTGCAGCTGCAGCATGGGGCACACACAGCGCGGCCGGCCCCTCCCCCTCGGGCCCCACGCGCGCCTGCGCATTCGGGACACAGACGACGCCGCCGCCCTCCGCCGCCAACCCCTCTGCCCTTCCCCCACCTTCCGCGGGCCTCTCGAGTCACCGCCCCACCTCCGTCTCCTACTTTCCTCTTCCCTCCAACCTAGTGAGGCCCAGCGGGTACGCGGGGAATCGACTTGGGGAAAGAACAGGGGCAGCGCGCGGCCCCCGAGGGACGAAGGGGTGCATGCGGAGCGCTGGGGGAGGGGGGAAAAAGGAGAAGCGTGCGGTACCCGTCATCCTGCTGATTCTTGCTCGCGTTGATCTTAGATCCCTCTGCAAATTCCTCTATGTTGCTGTACTCGTTCATGTCTTCCATAGCGGCTGAATTATCGGCCGGGAGGCGCTGGCGTGCAATCCGTGTCGCGGCAGCAGCGGCGGCAGAACGTTGTATGGAGCTGGATTTAAAATGGCGGCGGAAGAGATCCGGGCGCCGCCTGCGCCCTCCCTTTATAGCCGCCCCACCCGCCAATCGGGAGGGCTGCTGGGCGGTGACGTGGCGCTGGGCCCGGCGCGCCCCCTGCCGGGTGGAGCTGGGAGCGAGCGAAGGGAGGAGTGGGGCGAGCTGCCGCGGCGCCCTCGGCCGCCAATGGGAGAGGCTGCGGGAGGCTAAAGTAGCGGGAGCGGAGGGGAACAATGGCGGCGGCACATGGGAAAGCCGGGGAGGGACCTCCATCGCGGCCCTTCCGCTGAGGAGCGAGGTCGCAGGTGAAAGGACGCGGGCTTGGGAAAAGAGCGTCAGAAGAGAAAAACGAAGGGGCGAAAAGTCCTGGGTCAAAAATCCCGAGCAGCGTCACAGCCCCTCTTGCCTTGAGAGCCTTTGTCTCTGGCGTCCGGTCCAGCCCACTCCCAGCAAAGAGCCGTCAACCCCGCCTTTTAACGCCCTCGGTCCCCCAGTGCGGAGCTGCTGCTATCGATTGGCACCGGGGCCGCGCTGCTCCGGAAAAAAGCGGACTGCGCCCAGCGCCGGTGGCTGAGGCGGCGAGCGCGCCCTGCCGTCCGCCGCGCGCACGCGTGTTTTGTCCTGGAGCTGGCTGGAAGCAGCCGAACAGGAAGCGGGCGCTCTTTAGCCCCCTCCGGACAGCGGCGCGGCGCGGCGCGGGGGCCTCTTCCGCTGCCGCTACAGGCGCGCGGGCCGAGGGGGCGCGGCGGGTCTCCCTAGCCGATCGGCCGGAACCGGGGCCAACGCAGTCAGGCTGACCGGGAGCCAAACGGCCTCTTTCGCTGGCTGACGGGTGGAGGGGCGCGGGCCCGGTCGGATTACTGTAAAAATGCAAAAGCGGAGGCAGTGGGCGGGGAGGGGGCTAGGTGCCGTAGAGGGCAAGGGGCACTCACATCCCCGGCGCGCCACTCGCGGGGCTCCCGTCTGCACGTGCCCCGAGCCTCTCCCGCTCGCTCAACCAGTCTGCGGAGAGCGCGCGCCCGCACATCGGGCTCCCGCGTTCGCTTCTTTGTTCCCGCCCACGCGAGGCCCATTTTGACTGATCGGGTTAGAGGCCCTCTAGCGGCCAATCGACGTCGGTGCCATTACCTCTCCCCGCCCCATCGGAACCTCGCGAGGACCGCCCCATTTCCCTGCCCACGTGGTCTAGGCCTCCAGGCCCGGGCAGCTTGCGAGTTCAAGGTCCCTGTGCTGCTGGTTTCTCTATTTTCAGGGGCCCCGACGTGTCCTCTCCGCCTCGTGCGTCAGGCCGCGCGCAGTTGTGCGCTCCGGGACTCTTTTCGGGGCTGTCGGAAGCCCAGCAGTTTGCTGGGCGCAGCCGGCACGGCCCTCCGCCCTCCCTACCAGTAGGCCGATTCTCGTAGTAGCAGCCGGTGGGGAAATGGTTGTGCTTTCGGTGCCTGCCGAAGTCACTGTGATCCTGTTAGATATCGAAGGTACCACAACCCCGATTGCTTTCGTGAAGGTGAGGGGCGGAAGGGAGCGGGGAAGTTACTTGTGCTTTAAAACAAAAATTTTAAACTATTGCAGACCTTGCACTAGAGACACGAGGCGTGGGAGAAACGGTGTGGCTTTGCAGCGGCTCTGGGATGGGAGGAAGTAGTCTGCGGCGGATTGCGGGGATGCTTTTCCTCACCGTCTCCACCTTCCCGCGTCCCTGCCCTCGGTTATTTGCAGGTGGGAAGGGATGGAGGTGGTGGTGAAGAAGGGCCGAGGAGGGCAGGTCCGCCGCGGCAAGGTGAAGCGTTGTGGGCGCCGCCCGCCGGGCAGGTGTGCGCCGCGTCGCCCCGCTGGTGAGCTTCCGCCTTGTGGCGGGTTGGACCTGGCGAGGCGGCGGCCGCGATCTAGTGGTCCTTGAGGCTTCTAGTCTAGTAAAATGGGAAGGCTGAACGACGAAGATGACTTTTCAGGTACCCCTGGTGATAGGCGGTAATGGTTGCTCTTGGCCCTTTCCCACTCCTGCTCTTAGTGGCCGAAATGCACACTGTATGTTACTGGACTAGGCTAGCAAACGTCTAGATTCCGTTCATTTTCTTCGAAAAACCATGAAAGCTTAAAGTTCTTACCAAAAGCCTTCCTCCTAGGATGTCAGTGCTAACCAGCACTTGTCTATACCTAGTTCACAAACTTACAACTTTGCATTAGAGCAGGTTCCTTTTATATATATATTGTATTTGCCAGGATGAGTAAATATCAAATATTAATATAATTTTTTAAAGAATTCCTCGGGCCTGGTTTTCTCTTATTTGGCTTCTAGAGGTTTAAGATAAAAGTATTCACTAGAAGTGCTTGCGTGCAGTAATAACTGAGAAAGGAGGGAAAGTACAAAGTAGAAAAAATAATAACTGCTTTCTTGTAGTTTTCAAAGAAAAAAAAGGATTCCTCATCTTTGTAGTTTATAGTTTACAAGTCACTCTCTCCATTCTGGCTTTCTCTTGCTTGCCACTGTTATCAGGAGACCAGGGATAATGACAGGACAGGTCGTTGTTATATGGCATATGTAGCGTTCTTGGAAAGTTGATTTAGGGAGTAAGATACCTCATGCAAATCAATTTTGTAACAAAACGTTATGTGTCTCTTTCACCTTTTTTACCCACTATGTCTTCTGTAAGATGACACGAGCCACTTCTTGGAATCTTTGTTTATGAAAGACTTATCCTGACACCTTTCTGAGAATAAAAATGCCTTGATGATCTAAATAGATTTTTTTGTTTTTGTTTTGTTTCTTTGGTTTTGTTTGGCTTGCGGAATCTTAGTTCCCCGACCAGGGATCGAACCCAGGCCCCTGCAGTGGAAGCGTGGAGTCCTAACCACTGGACCGCCAGGGAATTCCCAAATAGATTTTTTTTTGGATTTGACACCAGACTGCCAAAAAGTGATTCGGGGTCTTGTTTAAAGGGTAGTTTCTTGTGCTTTGTTCTATAATCTGTTATTATTTTTATTAATATTAATCTATTACAATATAATCGTCTGTTAGTTTGTTATACATTAATTTACCAAAACCAGTGTTTCTAAAAGTATGTTCAGAAGAACATTAGGTTTGTGTGGCTGTTTTTAGTAATTATGCAGAAAAGGTTTCCATTATTAAATCCACTTTGGGGGGAATGTTCTATATGTATTCAACCAGGTTTCTTTATTGCACGCCTTCTCAGAGCCTTTATATCATGTGCACACTTGCACACACACACACATTGTGAGCCTTAAAGAGACTAGCATGTCACAAATTTACTTGAACCAGAAAAACTTTTAGCAGAGTAGCTCTATCTTTTTGAACACCTTTTAAAGAGATGCTAAGTTATGTGCTTCTTGGACCTCTGAGCATGGAGCTGGGAATGTTTGTTCTACTTGGGCTTTATTAGTCACATTAGGTGTGTGAACTTGTAGCCCTCCTTCCTGTGGAATGGTGTAAGGAAACATTGAGTAATGTATACCTGCAGCTTGTATACTTGACTCATCCTCAAAAACTTGGTGAGGTGTGTGTACTCTGCGTTTTACTGATAGGAAACTAAGGCTCTGAAAAATTGAACAGTATGCCTGGGATTTGAAACCAAATTGTCTGACTCAACAACTCTTACTCTTTCCATTATTGCACTCGATCTCTGAAATGGGAACCACAGTGCTCGTTCTATTTTCTTTGCCTGGCCTTGTGGGGGTTAAATGACACAGCTGGTATGAGAGCACTTTAATCAGTAAGAAGTACCATAAAAGTATATGGCAGCAAATTTCAATATACACCACCTCTAGGTGGTAGGTATAAGAGTGAGCCCTTGGAACAGAATAACTATAGTTGAGTCTCACTTTATCTGGGGGATTGCTTCTACAGTCAGCGTACACTGTGAAAGTTGAGTATTTTCAAAAATTGCCCTTGAACTACCCTTAGGAAGTCAGTTCTCTTTGGAGATTGATTCTGTCTTTCAGTAAGTCATATGCAGCCATTTTTCCTTCAGGGTTGAAACATCCCTGCTTCTTCCTTTGAGTATCAGAGGAAGTTGGTTTGGGATTAGGTGATGTAGATGAAAAATATATTGTGTCAAACTTTAGCCTCACAATGAACCATTCATGCTGTAAGAGACACTGAGGAACTGAGAGACTGTCCAAGGGAACAGAACACCTTCATTGAGTAGAATGGCAGACAGATTGCCAGCGCTGGTTATGTGTTTTTTTTCCCCTTTCTCTCTCTCTCTCTCTCTCTCTTTTTTTGCTGAGCACTTAGAGTTGAATGTGTATATGATGCAACTTAACTATATAAGATGACACTAACAGTGCTGGATATCTTACGGGATCCTCCCAGTTTGGGTGCTCTGAGGACAGGCTGTTTGCTCTATCAGGGCATGCCTTCAGCCTTTGGGCTCCGGGCAACAATAAACAATGTTTTTACTTCCTGCTATTATGTCTTATTTTCTTTGGTCAAATTTCTAGAAAGGGAAGGGTTCCTAGCTTGGATCATCTAGTCAATGTCACAACCAGCTAATTAATTTCTCATATGAATCAACTGGTGCCTGGAGGGATATCTTTGTGAGGATCCTCACAGTGTGTTGGGGACAGAGCAGCAATAGATGGTTCCCAGTGCATGCGAGTCCTCAAAGCCACCAGTCCACTGCAGGACGTGTGCCTCTGGAGTTTCTTTTCTTTTCAAGCGCTAACTTTGATTCTCTACAGTGGTGATCTCCCAACATTTTTTGGTCATGTACATCATCAGCAGAATTGGAGCAGGTAGGCACTACCAATAGAATTTATTGTGTACACATATTACTGTACTATTATTAAGTTGTAAAATAAATTGGAATTTAAAGATGAGATTTAAATAATAAGTGTAAATGAATGTTATTGTATTCACTTCCCTTCTCCCCTTGAATCATCTTGCATGCACCTCACAGAGCCACTGCTTGATCTTTGTCTGTGTGATGTAATATTCATTTTCTGACTTTGTGCATTGTATTATTCCAGTGTTTTCAGTCTGTAAGCTATGAAATAACACCATTACCAGTCCTTGGGGTTATCCTGTCAAGAACCTTCAACTATTGTTTTTGAGTTGGAGAAAATGGTGTCTTGTTTCTGAAAACGCTCTATAATTTGGTGTCTTTCCTGCCATTACATGTCAAGTTAGTACATGTAACAACAGTTGCGGCAGTTATGTTTTGTGAAGTTACCGTGAACGCCATCTTAGCAAACACTGAATCATTGCCCCTAGAGAAAATGCAGGGTTTGCTTCCTGTGAGCCTCTGGTCACAGCATATTTGTCAGCTGATCAGTACATAACCTTGTTTTATGTGTGTTTCTGTTTGCCTTATCTAATATATATCGTTGCTCCATTAACATTGAACTCACTGCCAGTAGCGCTATAGCTTATGCTTTAGCGAAGCTTATGTAACACATGTGTTTTCTCTGTAAGGCAGCTTTCTTGCCTTTAGGAACACTAGACAGCACTTTGCTTGGGGACCATTTTAAACTGCACACTCACCAACAAAAAGCACAAAATGCGAAAAATGTGGTGCTAAGTAGACCTTGAAAAGGATACTTGTTTAAAATATGAGAGGTGAAATAAGAAGGCAAAGCATCACATACTGGGAACATGTGCATCTGGTTTTCCACAATTTTAGCTGTTCTGCTCATGTATGTACCTGTCCTCAAAAAATTGGGAAAGTGCAGTGAGTAATGATTTTGGGGTTATAAATAAGTTTTAGTGAGTAGGAGAATTTGCAAATACAGAATCTTTAAATAATGAGGATTGGCTTCGTAGAGTAGTATTTATAAGGATGGACTTGGAGACTGCAAGTCTTGATTAGCATTCTGGCTCTTCCCTAAATGATTTATGGCAAGTTAGTTAATGTCTCTAAGTCTAGGTGCATATTCCCTCAACTGTACTTTGGGGATATCCACCTCATAAGGCTACTGTGAACATTTAGTGAATGTTTAGCCCTTGAAAAAACTTTATAAAAATAAATAGATTTCCATCAATATTTCATCCACCATCTCAACAAATATTGTCAGGGAGTAGTGGACAGGGGTACTAGCAGGGGCAGGGGCATGTTTTTCACTTATAACTTAGGAACTTTTTGTGCTTGGAAGTAAAATCTTTGTAATAATTAAGAACCTCTCATTAACTGAAAGTATGAATCTGATTAGAATATTTGTCCCTAAAATATAGTAAGTGGGTCATGGTGAGTACCCTTGCCAATGGCTCTTTGTATTTGTGCTTCTCAGACTTGAATGTGTTCACAAATCATCTAGAGATCTGTCTAAAATGTAATTTCTGATTCAGAAGATCTGGAATGGAACTTTTTTTTCATTTTTAATGACATTTATTGTTTTCTTTCTAATTTTACAAGCAATATATATTCATTGCAGACAATTAGACAAAAAACCTGAAGTAAAAATTAACAATCACCCATAATCTCCACCCCCCAGAGATAACCATTGTTTGCATTTTGATGCATTTCCTCCCAGTGTCTACATATTTTTTTT